TCTTGTGCAGCGACTGCTGATACCAAAGAAGGGGACGGGAGAGAGCTCCAGGAGCGTAAGGAAGTTCTTCCAAAATGAAAGGAAATAAGGACTCTTCTGACAAGTTTGCCATTGTAACATTCAAATGTTTGTTTTAAATAGTGCTTATTCAATTCTCTAATACTTACTAATGGGATATTAAAATACTAGTCTTCCTACATCAAGTCTAATCTAGAATATCATACTTTGGCCTACAATTTTAATTTTAAAAATAATGTAAAATATCAATTCCATGCTGAGTTGTACATAATATGCTACTTAAAGGTCTCTATGGTTTTTCTAATTCATAAAAATTATCATCAAAATTGGCTTTTACAAACAAGTCCAAGCAGGTGCATACAATTCTTATTTTATCTTACTTTATACTGAAAGAAAACAGTGAAGGTGATAGTGATAAAGAATTTGTTGCACGTAGGTATTGGTTCCATCATTTCAAAGTAAGACAAATTTATAGTAACATTAAAGAGTATGAAGCAATTGAGCAAAAAGTCAGATGTTCGTAACCTGGGAGCTTAATGTACAGTTGAGTGTACGTTACAAATACTGCTGAATTTTACATGCAGCAACTATTGAGATGGTCTGTTTTCCTGTGAACAGGAGCCTGGTGTTTGGCTGCAACCAAAAGATCAGCAGTTTGAACGCACCAGCAGCTCCACAGGGAAAGGTGGGATCGTCTGCTTGCATCCTGGGATGTTAGAGTCACAGACGCTCTGTCGGACAGTTCTCCATACTGCAGACTTGCTATCAGCTAGAATCTACTCGACAATGCATTTAGTTTTGCTGTGTACATTATCAACCACAAAATAAATGAAGTAAAATGCTTTTTCCTAAACTACTGATTTTACGTAGGGTACCTAAGTCACATAACAGCACAATATAAAAGTGCTGTGTACACTTCTTCAACAAACATGATTTTCACCTCATGTACAATTGGCCCAATCCTAGGTTTTTAACATTGAGTACAAGCAGACTTGGACTCTGCACCCACGGATTTTATCTACAGACATTAATCACACGACCGCTGATGAACTTACAATACTAAAATAAATAAGCTGGGCATGCACTATGAATAAACTGAATAATTTGTCTGTCATAAGAACAATGGGAGATATTAAAGAGTTCTAAACGGGGTGGGGGAGGGATGACAAGATCGCGTTATGTCTTGCTTTTTCTCAA